TCTTTTTTCCCCCTTCCTCACATTTAATGACTAGTAATGTTAAAACCAGGAAAGACACTGAGTGTTAAATATCTGTGCATCTCTGCAGAAGATGACAAAAGAGCAATTAACCTGTGAGAAGACTGTCCTGCAGAAGAATCTGCTGCACTACGAAGGGCTGCACGGTCGACCGGTACGTTCAAAAACCTAAATTCTGCAAAGATTTGTCTTTGCCTTAAAAAGCAAAAAAGAAACCTGTTCTAACCAGGTCTGTCGCTTCTCCTGTCCTTCTAGGTGACCAGAGAGGAGCGGCTGGTAGTGAAACCTCTGTACGACCGTTACAGGCTGGTCAAACAGATGCTCACCAGAGTCAGCATTACACCTGTTGCAGTAAGTTCACAATCTCCACCAGAGACACAAAGTTGGCAGCACTCATGCAGCAGACAACGGATCAACTGCATCAACCTTCCTTTCCCTCCTCCAGGTATCTCCATCTAGTAAGAGGCGGAGTAAAACCCTGCAGCCAATCATTGAGGGTGAAACTGCTCACTTTTGGGAGGAAATTAAAGAGGAAGAGGAGGAGGAGCAAGAGCAGAAAAGTGGAGGAGAAGAGGAGAGGGATGAGGAGGAAGACGAAGAGGAGGAGGAGGAGGAAGAGGGAGAGAGCAGCGGTGGTGAGATGCAGAGCCCCGAGGTTATCATGGCCATCGACCCGATGACCTCGAGTGACGGGCCCGTGAGCAGCCAGAACCAGTCTGACCGACAGAGCGACTGTTCGATGAGAGAAAAGATGGAGGAGGGATCGGGGAGGCTGGCGCTCGACCTGCGTCTGTCCAGCTCGAACGCCTCATCCATGTGAGAACAAAACACACGCGTTCACGCAACATTAGGGTCTGAAAACTGATGAGTTCTTATCCCTCTGGGGTCCAGGGTATAATTGGCCATTTTTGACTACTTTTGATTTTACCTCTATATTTCACCTTTAAAATATGTTTTTCTTGCCTTGTTTGGTATCATTATTTTCAGCACAACCTCATTTTTTCATTTTGGTATACTATATTAGCACAGTTGATCTAAATTCAGACAAAAAAAATTCAAAATCCGAGTAGAAAAAAGTTATTTTTTACTGTAAAACCCACAAACATGTTTAACGAATCATTTTCATAACTTGAAATGCAAATAGAAATTGTGCATAATTTTTAGAAATGTACAAAGTTTTGCAAACAACAAAGTTATATGGTACTATTTACCTAAAAATGCAGCCAAGGCCTC